AGTATCATACATAAATGATTGAGAGTTTGAGGACAAAAGGAAAAAGGTAATAATAAATAAATAATTTATGATGATGCATATTCTCATCGGTGCAGGAATCCGATGTTTTAAATAATAGCGAATTATTCTTTAGTCTTTGTGCTTTTATGAACTCGTTAGTTAGTTTTTGGGTTTCGGAAATCATAAATTAATTCTTTGATCAAAGTTGACAGTGAACTCTCTCTTAAATATATTTTTAAATTATATTCATTTTTTTTTATTTTATCGTAATTGATGAAATTTAAAGTCTTGACTAAAAATGAGTAGAGTAATAAAAGTATCATTAAAAATCTGATAAAATTATAACACTAAGTTATAGACTAATATAAGAATAAAAAGATTCAATAAAAAGTTTTTCATACAAATAAGATTAATTAATTATTTTACTAAAAACAAAAGGATTAAACGACCATTTACTCTATAAGTAAACTATGGTTCTAGATTTCATGTTCTTCGCACAAGAACATGTACTAGTTAATTTCACAAATTCAACAATATCCCGTATTTAAGAACATTAATTTCTCTCAACAGGCCTCGTAATAAAACTTTAGTAATTATCTATTCTCATTTCTCTTGCAAAATTCCACTCCACAAGGCAAATAGCAGGATGGTCGAAGCCTCCCCTTTAATCTGGGCTTATATTAGTAATATATACATAGGCAAAATTCTATAAATATGTTTTTTTTTTTTCGTGGATGAGATAACTTGATGTTGATGCGTAACGCAATATTGTGAGAGAATTATTATGTACACTTTACTGAAAATTGTTGGAAATTAAGTACACCGAGTTGAAAGGATTTTTAACTTATTCCTAGGACCTTGGCTCCACCAGCTGCCTCATGCTTCGTCTCGAGTGGATGAACGTGGGGTATTTGAATTTTGGGGCCTTAAGCTTAAGATTTGTAGTTAGTGGTTCAAATAATTTAATTTTTTTATTAATTTAAATGTTTGAGCCGTTTATGTATATCTTAATTAATATTATAAATTTTAAAATTAATAATTATATAAATTTTTAGTGGTTAACTTACGCGTGGCTGATTAATTTAGTTGTTTCTTGAAAAAATATCCAATGGCTGTACTACAGCCGCTGTAGTGAAATTCTTTCCCATGCAAGCATGGCCAATATTTTCGCATAGACAGGTGCTGCGCCTCAGACACCACGAAACTACTTGTGATTAGATTCTTGTCTTGCCGTTTAATCGCATCACCTGTCTTTCTCCGTTGATTTGTTTCTGATTAGATTTTGTTCTGCTGGCTGCTCAACCAAATTGATCGGGATTAGCCAGACCTTCTTTCTGATTAGATTTCTTCCTGCTTTTCTCTGCAGTACTGCTAGTGCTGGCTGCTCACGAGGAACCAAAGTGATCGAGATTAGTCAGTCCTTTCGCTGACATCGACATGTTGGAAAAAAGAAAAAGGTTCCTTTTCGGGGGTGGTGGGGTGTTAGAGCATTGCATTCTTATTTTTTTAGTTAAAAATCAGCTGAAACAGTAAAATTTTTTTTGCTTCAGAGTAAGTACATAAAAGAGGAATATTTGATAGTATAGTTATAATTAATTTTAAAAATTTTGCTTCAGCATGTGAGTAAGTACATAAAAGAGGACTATTTGATAGTATAGTTATAATTAATTTTTAAAATATTTTTATTTATAAATATATTATGATAATATTTTTTATTTTTTTAAAATTATTTTTAATATTAGCGTGTTAAAATAATCTAAAAAGATTAAAAAACATATTAATTTAAAAAATTTAAATTTTTTAAAATACAAAAACAAGGTTAAAATAACCTGAGATGCTGGCTTGTGGTGAATTTCTCTCGTGCTGTTTTTTCACGTACTTTTTCTTCATCATTGCTGAACCCACGGGATCAGCATGGCTTGGGTTTTTATGACCATTTTTACTGCTTGCAAGCCGGCTTCTAGGTGCGCTGTCCTCTTATTGAAGTGGCTTAGAAATTCCTGCTTATTACTGAATCAATCATAGATCAATTCCATTTTTATTGGAGAGTATTTAGTGCATTCATGATTCTGAGCTTTATATTATTCCTTTTAAAATACATGTCAGACCTAAAAAATCTCATTTCAATTAAATAAAATGATAATTTCTAATTTAAAAATTATAAAATTAAAATTTTGATTAAATCAGACATTGTATTATACTAAGCCTTCTAATTATTTAAAAATTTTATCTAAAAACTTTGTGATATAACTAGGATGACGTTTCAAATACCATGCATGAGTTGCTATAATAGGTGGGTGGCTATCTTGGTTTTCAACAAAGCTTTGGTTTTAAAAATTTTAATATGCTATTTTTTTAATTGTTAATAACTTGCATTTATATTTGTGTTTTGCTATAATTTTCTTCTTTCCTTTTTTTCTCTGCATGGGAGTACACTGCTCATGTAGTTGTGTTGGTTTTCAATATGATTTATTATTATTATTATTATTGTGACTTTAACGAGGGGGAAAAAAAAAGCACTTGCAAGTGCTTCTTCCCATGACAACAATTCTGATTGTTGCGACAGGTTCCACGTTTTTTTTTCAGCGAATCACTCGTATTTGTATTTGTGCTTTACAAAAATTTTCTTTGTTTTTCTGTGCATTCACACTATGCCGTTGGGTTTCTTTAATTATTGTTTTAGATTGTCTATTCATGGTTTTTTTTTTAAGGTATTATACTATATAAAAACAATTAATAGATATAAACAAAAACACTAAAAAAAAACAAAAAAAAAACCCTAAAACTTTTGGGTCTCTTAAAAAAACCCCAAGAGGCTTCGGTGCATGAGCCTAAAACATCTTATTTATTTAGGTTATTTAGGCTTTATTTTTTTATTTTTTTAATGCTTTTTTTTTTAAAAAATAGGTGGAATGTTGTCTGCCTCTCTTATATTACTTAGATTCTGGTAACCTTCAGTTGTTGAAAAATCAGGTTGGTAAATTTAAGATTAAAAAAAAGCATTTTTCAACCATATTTTAAAGCAAACAAAAATACTGTAAACATATTCATATACTCTAAAACACCTTCTAAGATATATTCATATACTTTAACATCCTAGAAATTGACTTAAAAACCACAATTAACAAGAAACAAAAAAAAAATTGAATTTAGATCTATCATTTTAAACAAGTTTAAGTAAAAATACATATTATATAAACTTTCCTCGTCAAAAGAAACCAATTATAGAAAAACCATATGTTTTTGTAGCTGAAATTAGTCTCAAAAGAAACTTTCTCTATCTAACACCAGATTTCAACTACTTTCTTTCTTATCTCTTAAATAAGGGATAAAAAAATAAAAAAATAAAGTTTGTAATAAAAATTGAATTTCTCAAACTATTAAGGACTAAAAAGTTATAATTTAAAAAGTTAGAAAATCAAAATATATGTTTAATCCAAGTTTAAAAACCATCCTTTTCTTACCGTATATTTCATCTTAGGCTCATATCTTTAATCTTGTCATTTCATAATAAATATGCTTTAATTAACCGGGTCTATAAAGGTGAAATAAAAAAGAGAATACAGGCTAAAAAAACAAATCATTATAGTAACACACATGGTAATTTATTTTCTGGTGAACCGGGGCTGAATGTGGAGGCTCTTAGAAAATATAAAAGTTGATAGCGAAATTTGTGGGAAGGACGGAAAGCTCAGTTGGATTGGACGCAACTGTTGGTGGCTTGGATCAAGCTCGTAGTAGTTTCCTGGCCTGTGATGAGATATTAATCGAAAAGGTCCATAGAGTTGTGCCTAGGGTCGGTCCAATCCAGCCACTATCAGAAGCAATTTGTGCTCTAGGCAACATCAGTCTGTAGTTGAACAAGCAATAATATCCCCATTTTCATACAAGGGAGCAGAAAAGATTTCAGCACGGCTACTAGAGGAGCTACGTCACGTCAAGGAGAGGGTCCATAAAGATATTGCACTCTCTTCTTTGGTTTCAAAGCTTGATCATTGCCAAAGATTATTGGTTACGATGGAGCATCATGCAGTTGTTGCGAGGGGAAAGGCAGTACCCCTGCGTACAATTGGTGTTTGTCACTGTCAATTTTCATGAGGCACTTCTGCAACATCTTACAATTTTACAAGTTCCCTCATGTCATAATCTCAAGCATTTCCATTTCTTTCAAGTCATTAGGAAGAATCTCCCATTAACATGAAGACATATATGTACTTGACAACTGAACAAGGCAGTTCTCAGGATCACATGACACTTGCAATTATGCCCCCATATATAATATACAGGACATTTAATGTTTCTTTTTACTCCCAATAAAAAATTTAATTGTAAACTTCAAACTGAAAAGCAAAAGATCCATTAAAAAAAGGACTTGAAAGAAAAAAACACCAATAAAAAAAGGGATTTGAATGAAAAGAAAAAACTTGAGGTAGCTAACTGTTCACATTAACAATCCATCTCAAGCTTTTTAATGTTTCTTGTGTTTATATATATATATGTAGTTCTTTTTTATGTGTTGCCATGACCTTTGCAATGCAAAAGCTCGCACACCAAAAAATTGAGTGAAAATTGATGCAATTAGGGCCTACCATCATCACTACAAGGGCTTAAAGGCTATTTTCCAGCGGCGGATCAAGGAATCCTCCCAAAGCAAAGGCGGTTTTTTACTTGGGGCTATCCAAACACGGCGCTACCATGGAAAGAGACTAATGAACACACCTGAGGTGACATCAATCCCCTCCAAAATGTCAGGGGCCCAACAGAAAGGTCCAAAAACGGTTAATGCACCGGCAAAGAAGCCAGGTGTCTTCAAACACCTAACAAATCATAAAAGGCGAGAATTCCCACCAAGGAATTCAGAGGCAACTATCTTCCAAGTCCCACCCAATAATGCCACCCTTCTTTAGAGAAGGAAAACTCCTAACAGAGCCTTTCTTAATTATTAACCCATCTTATAAGCTCTACTGTTCTGATCGCGTATGCGGCACCTGGGCTGCTATATAAATAAATTAATGAATGATATATACTCTGGAAAGCAAATCCTGTACAGCACAAAAATTTTGAGATTAGATTCAATTGTCATACACCGAGGAATCTTGGCTATCCGACCAAACAACCGAGGTTGCTATCACTTCTTAACCATCGCTGGTGACCATGTAGTAGACATCTCCGGGCGGCTATCGGTGCATGTCAATTTCTGTTCCCTCAATACCTCAGGTGTCATGGCCGCGTGCAATCACATGCAAATCAACCACTGTTTTTTGGCGACAATGTGCTGAACCTCTCTATTTAAAGGTGAATTGGTAATCCATAATTCTGGAATGATCTGATTCGTCCATCCCATCCAGCTGTTACAATCACCAAACCCCATGCATGAGGGGAGCCATGCATGCTCTGGCATGACATCTTCAAGAACTTGTACTGCGATTTGCACATTGCAGATGATACGACCAATGAGCTTGCGGGAAGATTTTCCTCTGGCCATGTTGCAGAACCCTTGGGCAAAGAGTGAGAGAAAAATCCATGGCTGAGTGATAAATTTTCAGGGGAAGAGAATGGCAATTTCCATTGTGAACTCTCAACCAACTCAGATTGCAGCAACACACCTTTTTCACTACACGGCCCTGAGTTAATAGAGGATGGGGATTTTCCAGTGACAGTTGAGGAGCTACAATTCATAGAAGTCATCCCACACCAGGGTATAGCCACTGACACATTGTTTGAGAAGAAACGCTCGCAAGACCATTTGCTCTTCTTCTCCTGAGCCACAGGCCCATCCTGGCTAATATAATTCCAGATATAGACATAAGAATCCTCACTTGCTGAAACAATATGCATCCCATCTGACGTGAATGATGCAGATATTTGGCTTCCCGCATTACGGAGGCCTGCACTCAATACACTAGATTTGAGGGAAGAAATAGCTATTTCTGAAAACTGAATGTATTGTTTACCATAATTACCAGCACCACCTAATAAAAACACAACTAATTTGTGCACACCTCGATATTTGCATATCACATCAACTCCATGGAGTATTCGAACTTGGGAATCAGCAGAAGTGACCATTAACCTGGTCGGGTCACTTGGAAAAAACTGCAGATAAGAAAAGCTAACATTATACATTTAGCATAAGAATGAAGCCAAACGACATGCAATAAGATGGAAAAGGAAAATTAGCAGATATAAAAATCATCACCTGAAAGCCAGTTATCCTCTTGAATGGTGACTTCTTCTTGCCCTGCAAGCATATTTGTGCATACTGCTGCAGACGATTATCTGATCCATGCAAAATACACTAGTTAGCACCAAAGCTACCCTCCTGCATCATAGTATGGCATAAAAATCAAATTTGAAACATGAATCTATGATGGGTTTCATAGACATTAACTGGGGTATGGAAGTCTACAATGGAACTAATTTTCACCCCTAGATTAAGTACCACAAACTCCAGCATTTGTTGTGAGGGAAGAAAATAGAAAGCTATCTGATTACTGATCAGGAATATATATATATCACAGAGGAAAGCAAAACGATCCTACCAAAATAACTGCTCCAATATTCCTTTGCTAATCCAATGAGTATCAATAAATTATCAAGCATTGTCTTATGCAAAGGACATCCATATCAGACCAAAAGCAAGTCGAGGAAAGCAGTAGTGATGAAGCATGATGGCAATATGCAAGACAATGAAAACACGAGGAAATACCTGCAACCTATTCAAAGTAAAAGTCTTTGTTCTGAACTAAGGAGGTGCATCAAGCATTACAGTGTGAAAAGTTCATGCTAAGCCACAGATGTTAAATTCGTGCATTCAATTAAATTCTTCTTTCTATTTCCCAAAAGTGAAAGGCAAACCAATTGCCCAGCCAAAAAAATGAGCAGGATATTTTTAACAAGATTCTTTATCAGTGTAGAAACAGAAAACTTATTTCATGACTCACACATGCAGGAGAAGCAAACCACCGCGCAGTACACCTGCACTACGACAATGACTGCAATATATTCCAATTCTTTTCTGTATAACATGCTTTGGAATTAAAAAAAATAACCTGCTGCATCATAAAAGCGGCAATTGCCATTCATGGAGCCAACGATTCCACCCTGCACAAAAAAGCGAGTGCTCTAAGAATTTCACATGTGAATCACATTTAGGAGCAGAAAAAGGAGGTCATCCACAAACCTTTCCATCAGGACAATAACACACAGCCGTGACAATTTCAGTTATATCAGTCCAGTCAACAACTTGACAACCAGGAATTGCCCAGATGCGTACTTTCCCATCTATGGAACCACTGATGAAGTAATTTTCATCCACAGGATTAAACTGGACGCAGGTAACTGTATTGCATGCAGCACAGAGACAAGCAATTAGAATATAAACAAATCAAAAGTGCCTGAACTGATCCACCAACATTAACTACTCATAACAATTATCAAGACAAAAAATTTATTGGAGAATGATCAGCATGCAGAAAAGCACACCATAATCATTGTGGAAGAAAACTTGTAGGCATTTGCTGCTTCCCACTTTCCACAAGCGAACAGTTTTATCAACTGAGGATGAAAGGAGATACTGCAAAGGTAATGGGACAATCAGAAACATAATTTATTTGTCAAACAAGAAAAACTAAACTGCTGTCGAGTTACTACTTACCTTGTCCTTTGACCATGAGAGGTCCAAGACCTCTCCACAGTGCCCAAAAAACTCATGGATTGGTTTGTCCGATATTTGAAATACTTTCTGAGGAAAAATGACACAAGCCGAGTCTGATGTCAGCATGCTCTTGAATTTACCCTTTTTCTCTCTATCCACCTTAAGGGGAGCTACAGAAAGATCATCAACCGTGAAATGGGCATTGGAAGAATGAATATCAAGGATGCCTAACTCATCTGATCTCTCTTTTTCCATCACCTGCCATACACGCACAACTCCATCTTCACCTGCACTCGCAAGGTACTGACCATCAGGACTGAACTTCATAGTCAATATTGAACCCTCGTGAGCTGGAATATCCTGTCTCATGTAAAGGGCAGAGAATTCCTTGGACCGCTTCTTATAAGATTTAACCCTAACTATCTGATTCCTAGCCCCTGCAACAGGATAAGGACCATTACCACCAGCTTCCACTTGCCTGTCAACGATGCAAGAGATAGCACCTAATCTCCTCAACCATCCCATCTTTACCTGCTTTCTTGGCAGCTCCAAATTGGGCACATCTTCAACTTCTCTTCGCATCACTTGCTGAACCAAATGGGAAAACCCAAGACTCCTCTCAAACTCAGCAACAGTAAGTAACCGATTTGAACCAACTTCACGAATTCTCCCTGACATGCCATCCTGCCGAAGTTCATCCAGAATAAACTCTGTCCCGTTATCCAAATTCCTAACCCTACATACAAAATTCTCCTCCATTGCCCCATCTAACAACTCTTGGGCATCATTGGACCAACTCGACATGGAAGACTGACTCGATGAGAGTCCATCATCTAAACTGTATGATCTCAGAACTGCATCGCTGTGTTCCGTAATCCTATCTGTCTCAACTTCCACTTCATTGAAAGACGTATTGCCAGGATCACCCTTCCCAGCTTGATCCACGTCCAAACCCATCCATTTTAAAAATTTATTGCGCCTTTCACGAATACAGCCTGGATTCTTGATCCAAACCTCATAACCAATACTACCAGGCAAGGAACCAATAACCCCAAAATCAGAATCCAAATTGTCAGGGGAGTCAGAGTCTGGATCAGATACAGAGGGACAATCCTCAAGAGTGTCGAAGAATTGATCCTCTTCTTCACTCAAAATCTCCATTTTAACACCACAGCTTAACTCAAAACCAAACAGTTACCATCTCTCAAAAACCTTCTGGCAACATCCTAAATCCCATCCAACAAGAACATGTCAAGATATTGAGAACCCAAAAAAAAAAAACCCATTATTAGTTCATCATCCAAAAGCACAGATCCCAGTTGTAGTACCCAACAAGTGAAAACATTAAGAAATAAAATAAAATTAGTAAGCAAACCCCAAATCTCAAACAAAACCCAACGACACACACAAAGATATAGCAAGCAATGGAGCAAGTACTGTTGCGCTGAAAACAGCATAAAGAAAAATTAAAAAAGGAAGAGGAAACAAAGACGGGGGTGGAAATGAAGAGATAAATAAGAGAGGTGTAGAATATTATGAAAACACAAGGAAGAGGATAAACGAAAAGGAAACAAACAAAAGAGTGATTTAGTGGTGTGGGGTTTAGACTTTTTTGGAGGGGGCGCGCACCTCATTTCACTTGCTTCTTCTCCCGTATCTTTTTCGAGCCTGTCAAACCCAACAAGAAAACACCAAATAAATCATATGAAAGAAAAATAATTTGAGATCTCTCCTAGAGGTGGCTGCTGCTTCTTCTTTCTTTCTTTTTTAAGAAAAAATCTGTATGATAATTATGCACTACCGTTGCCTTCACTTTCTTCGATTCATCATCCAGTTGTTGTTTTTGATTTGCATACTGTTTCGATTGCTACAAGTTCTGTGAAAGGCAGGGTATTATTACCTGCGCAGCAGCGTCGGTATTCACTATTCAGCAGCAGTAAGTCAGTAACTATTTGTTCTTATTTTTCCATGCAACCATTTCGTTGCTTTATGTGGTTAATGGGCGATGACAAGTTCAAGTTCAGCTAGATTCTCTAGCTTATAGTATCCTAGATTCTTTCGCTTCGCTCATAGATTGAGAATCAAGTTTAACTTCCTTGCCCTTCTTTTGATTTGTTGTAAGTACTTTAACTGGGGTAAAATAGATTGTCTTTTTTTTTTTTTGGCCCCAATCATGTTAGAAACTTCCGTTGTTTTTTACCATTTGATGAGATGTTTATAATTATAGTTGTCGTTGATTTTTATTTAAAAATATATTAAAAAATATTTTTAATATTATGATATGAAAATGATTAAAAATACAAAAAATTAATTTAAAAATAAAAATAAAATTCAAAGTTTTTATTCTTAAAAATTAAATATAATACTCACGTGAATTCAATAGAAAAATTATATTCGTATTTTATTCTTAAACTTTAATTGCAAGCTGGACATGCCCGAATTGTTAATATGATATATCACACATATAACACACACATGTGTGATATATATATACAATTATAAATTTTAGCTCTAAAATTAATAAATTTAACTTTTGTCCCTCTTAGATTTTTGGTTCATAATTTGACTCTTTCAAACCTAATATCATGTGCCCTGCCCTGCTTAGGTTAGAGAGCAATATTTGCTCTCGGTTAAATGAAATTCTGGTTAGATTCGTATAATTCAGTTTGGGTTAGATTTTCTCGGGTAATAAATTCCCTCTGAGTCGTGTTTGGTTGGCTCATAAATTGAGAATCAAATGGAAACTCCTGTTCCTTCTTTTTTCCTTTTCTTTTGTTTTCCTGTTTTGATTTGTCTATAAGATATTATAATTTATTGAGAAAATTCCTACTTGATTTTTAGAGAGAAATTCTTAGGGGTCTGCTGTTTTTTTTTTATCACATAATTGTAATTATAATTAGGCACATATTTATAATAAAATCCGGGGATTTAATTTTCTTATACTTTTGCTGGAGTGACTGTTTGATAATTTATTTTTGTATTGTTTGACTTAAAATTATCGTTAAAGATATATTCTTTAAAATAATTATTTTCTTCAAGAAACTAAATAAATTACTTAAGCTGATGGATTTAAATAATTGATTTAAATTAAAAATAAATTATTTCTTGTGTGGTAAGATTAAGATTAAATAAATGACTGTTATGTTGTGATACAAGTAAAATCACTTAAATGTTTGGTAATCTATTATTGTGATGTTTTAACAGTTCACAACATAAAATAAATATTTTTTTCAGAAACTAAACTAAATGAATTGTTTTTTAATTTCTGAAACACAAAAATATTATAAATTATATGTGACTGATTAGCAATTAATATTGATGTGGTTGGCAATCAAAGGTAACGGAATCGTACTTAGGTATTCTTTTTAGTTGTTGTACTTCTATGGTACATAGCCCCTGTTCGGTAAGGGGGTTGGGCAAATCTTATTTTATTTTTATTTAAAATTAATTTTTTTATATTGTTATATTGTTTTGATATGTTAATATAACAAGTTTAAAAAATTAAAAAATATATTATTTTAAAATATTTTAAAAAATTATTATTATCACACTTAAAAAACACAGCTTCCTAACAAATAGTTGCTTGAATTGGTCAGGCTAGTGTTTTGCAACAGCAGAGAAATGGCTTTAATAGCCACCAATTGTCCTACATGGAGAATGAATTTAACTGGAAAAGTCACATAAAATCTTGAATTAAACCAACTAGTAGCAGGTGACATCTAACAAAATAATATTCATCAACTTTAGGTATGGGTTAACTAATTAAATATTAAATTTATTTTTAAAAAATTATTAATTTAACTCTTATAAATTTTAAAATTATTAAAAATTTATATAATTATTAATTTTAAAATCTATAAAATTAATTAAAATATACATTAATTAACCTGAACACTCACATTAATTAAAATAACAATAATAATAAAATTCATCGTCTTCTAGAGTTTTGAAAAGTTATCAATGTAGTTAATTCAAAGTGATCATTACTTTCCATGCTTTTTTTTTCTCAACTAAAAATTAACTAATACATCTTTAATATACTTTTATAAAAATTATTTTTCACTTTTAGAATTTAAGTTGATAATTATAAAATCTTCATCCAACTTTTTTTGTTTTTACATTTTTAATTGTCTTGCTTTAAAGCAAAGTAGTAAAAACTAAAAAGTAAAGGATTAATTATAGCCTCTAGATGATTTTACTCACAATATAACACAAAAGAATTATCATATATTTAACCTCACCGCATAACTGTAAAGAGGTTAAATATAGGATGATGATGACTCAGAAAAAAGAGAAAAAAAGAAAAAAAGAAGGAAAGAAGGAAAGAAGGAAGCTCTAGATCTCTACTTTGCCACATAACTGTAAAGAGGTCCGTAAGCTACACGCCAAATCCATCCTATGCCATTCCAATGTAATGGCAGGCAAACACGGCTTCCAAACAATATAAAAACATTCCAACGAACGACGTGCCCTTAAAATACCTTATTTTGATGAGATTGATTGCTTTGTTTACAGATTGATATTGTATTCTTACATGATCTCGTGACAAGTTTATTGAGGTTTATATCCCCATGCATTTCTGGCTGTTAATTTAGTTATTTCAATATGTCTCAGAAAAATCTAGTTGCTTAAGAATAAATTTATGTTTTGAATAATTGATTGATATCTTGTAACAGTCCGATTCATTTTCTTTTGCTAAGATGACCATAAAAGGTAACTCATACTTACAAAAAAAAAATATTTTTTTAATAAATTTTAAGACTCTTTAATATTTAAATAAATATTTTTTTAAAAGATATAACAATATTTAAAAAAAAACTCCAAAAATAAATGTGTCATAAAGAATAAATATGGAAAACCCTTTCTTCTAAAATTTATATGTCTTTACAGTTTATTATTTTTATCCTTTAATCCAGATAAGGATTATAAGGTCCTTCTTTTTTAATAGAAAATATATTTGATTATTAGAGAAAAAATATATCTAACTTGTCAGAAAAAAATATTTTTATATGCATATGAGCTCAATGCTTTTTCTAACTTTACTAGAGGAAAAAAAATTCTCAAGGTCTAATTTACTTTTTTGGAAAGATAAAAGGTTCAAAAATACATCAATAATACTCCTTTTATTAAAAAGGATCCAAAGACACCATGATAAACTTTTTTTTTAATAGTTGGAATTGCAAACCGGTCATTTTTTTTTCTTATTTTGAACAACTTTCTCTCACCCTCTTTCAAAGTTTATGGAGTGAAGCATAAAAATAAATAAAGTTTAGGATCTAAACATAAAATTATAAAATTACAAGGATAAAAAAATTAGTGCATGGAGAAATTTTGGACAGAAATGAACTCTCTTGCATGAATTTGAAACAAGTCAGTGATTTTTTTTAAAATTTTAATCCTTTTTCTAATTAATTTTACACATCAAATTTAAATTTTATTTTATTAAGTTAACCTCAAATTCAATCATGAAATTTCATCAAAAACTTCGAGGAAGAATAGTAGAAAACTATTTTCTTGAAACGTAAAAATATGCAAAGAGAAGAAGATATGAATACATAACATCACATGAAAACATAAAATAAAATAAATAAATTTTAATGTAAAAAAAACACAATTCATTAAACAGTGTCATGCACAATAATTTTAGAGAGCATGATAACAAATAGAAAAATCATATTCTTCCTCGGAAAAAAAATATTTTTTTAGGTTTATTGTATAATACCACACTCTAAAATGGTAATTTCCTTTTAAAATCTCAATTCAATGAAAGCAAAGGTTTGGAAATATACAAAGAAAAAACAAAACAGGAATCAAGTTTCCATTGTCACGTGACAGGAAAAAAGAGAGTTCCTATGGTCAACGTAAATCCACGAGGTTGGAAACTTTCCTTGAGAGAGAGGTGGTCATTAAAAAAATAAAAGTCTTCGCTTCGAGAATTAAGATTATCTCGAACCTTTATTTTTCCTTTCCTGGTTACAGAAGAGACTTGTGCGTGCTAAAAGGTGCAAGATGCCTTCGATTCGGATTGTTAGCTTCCGCCGCCATGCAGTTTTTCTACTCTCTAGATGGCAAATGCACACGCAAGCACTTGCATGCTATGTTCTCAAGCCTTTTTGGTCACATGCTCCGCTCACTTACCTTTGCCGGCCCCTAATTTAACTTGGATTAGATTGTCTTAACTATTTGTAACGAGATATTAGTTTAGTGATAAACTAGTTTATATGGTCGCACTACACAATTATTTGAATGTAAATAAACGTTCAGGTCACAGGAAAATATCTAATAACATGAAAATTCTCTTACCCAATTCCTTATTTAACTAAAATTTAAAATTAAATTATACGAGAGTTATTTCAATATAATACATTTAAACTAACAAATTTGAAGACAAATCAAACGATCAACAAAAAAACATAATTTGACTTTAAAAATAATAATCCAAGATTATTTTTTCTTTAATATCAAGACGTTAACAAATTGAATTTTTCAACCCGTTAAATCTATGATTCTGGTGATGAACTACACTAGGTTTAGGAATTTTGTTTCTAAAAACTATTTCTTCCTTAATTATACAATAGCAAAAATAGACAGTTGTAAAATCAAGCGCAAGATAAATGTCAA